CCCCCCATTGTGTGTTCTGTTGTATGATGGTTTGAGCCACGCCCATGCCCCTCCCCCGCGGTACCAGCCGTCTCCACCATCAGAGAACACACAATCTAGGATCAGACTGTGGTCCGGCCCCCCGAGTCCAGCGAGTGTCTGGTCAGGTCGGTCTCCTCCATAGGAAGGATTGCGGGAGGTCAGAGGTCGCACGCGGACAATGGAGGACACGGCTCACCTAAGCCTGGTTGGCGTTGGCTTAAATCCGGCAATCCCACAAAAACTGGACGGGAGGCGGATGCTGCCGGCGAGGTCGGTTCCGAAGCCCAGAAGTGAGGCTCCACCTCCAATCAGAGCCCCCTCTCCACCTGAGGATCCGGAAGCCCCCTTGGCCACGTTATGGGGGTTCATTGTGTATCCGTAGATGGTGTTGCTGGTTTCATAGCTGTGGAGACACGAGAATGCTTTGACTTGTGACCCCGCCTCTCATCACCAGAGGGTGACACCACTACTTCCTGGTGACACCTCATCCCTCCCAATCCAGCCAGCGTGTCATCATCAACAGAAAGGCAGGTGAGCTAGAAAGGTGAAGCAGTGAAAGCGTGGTGTCACCTCCCCCCTGTATCGAGATTCCTCCTCCAGAATCTATACCCCCCGCCCCTAGCTCCTGATCACGCCAGAGGTTAGAGACGTGCGGTCACTCTCCCGGCCACGCCACGCTGTGCCAATCATGGGCAGAATCTACTATAGGGGGAGGGGACATTGTGGGGACACCCCCATAGAGATGTTGTAGGAGGCTGACCTCCCATGAGCCTCTGCTCTGCTCACAGGTGGAGGATACAAGGTGGGGGCGGGGTGGAGGATACAAGGTGGGGGCGGGGTCCTCACCAGATCAGGGTCTGAGGAACGTTGGTCTTGGCAAACACAATGGCTCCTTGTTTCTTCAGGACCTTGACCACGACGCTGTCCTCCTCCTCCACAGCGTCCAGGTACTGAACAAGTCCACATGTGGAGGGGAGACCCTGGAGGTCCAAGAGAGGCCGGTCAGGAGGAGATCCGAAAAACAACTGCAAGACGGCGTTCATTCTATATCTACCGATCGTGAATGGAGATGTTACTGGACAGTTGGATAAATGGCTCTATATTTAGGATGTATCCGGTCTATAAATGGCGGCTCTGGAGGGACAGATGGATAAATGGCTCTATATTTAGGATGTATCCGGTCTATAAATGGCGGCTCTGGAGGGACAGATGGATAAATGGCGGCTCTATAGGGAAGGAACACACAAGGTCATTAGAGGATTTGATGTCAATGAATTACCTGATAACCAATATGCTCCTTTATAGACACTGGGGCCCCGTACAAGGGGCCCCTCTCTTCACTCTGTTGTAGTTTCTTCAGTTGATCTTCGCAGTCGGACAGGAAAACAGTCACACAGTTCAGATTGCTGTGCACTTCAAGAGCCTGCATGGAGGATGTACACCCATTAATCCCACAGAACAGGTGTAGAGTCCGCGTGCTGGAAAGTCAAAATATTTACAGCGCTCCAAGTTGTGTCATGAAAGTTTTATTATCCTCGTCCAATCAGATCCTCCGCCCTACTGAGAGGTGACATGAGGACTGGATGGAGGCTGGTTGGGGATTGGATAGGGACAGACTAGGGATCCCCCCTTCCTACCTCCAGATATACCGCGTTTCCCCGATAATAAGACCCGGCTGTGACCAATCCCGGGGCCGGTGGTGGCATAAGGGGGAACTTGAAGAGCCGCGGGAGAGAATCGGCGGTGCCAACGAAGCCAGCGCTAGAGGAAGCGAGGCGACAGCGGAGGGAGCAGAGCCTCATAAGCCGACGCCTCCTCTATAGCCCCGCCTCCTGTCACAGGCGGAGTCATACCAAATGCACTCCGCCTGTGCGGAATCCATAGTGACAGCGCCGCTCATTCTGGCCAGCGATTGGTCACCACATTGCTCTTGGAAAGATCCGGCCCCCCGATTATTGTACATTAATAATTAACACCGAGTTTGTTTTTTGAGCAAAAAAATATATAATACATTGTCCTATTATCGGGGAAACACGCTACATACATGACGATTATAACCTCCGGGGTGAGGGGGGCGGGTACCATGAATGATGTTTTATATATTTATCAGATTCCATCCATAAAATGTTTTGTATTTTTGAATACATTCTGTGATTGGAGGAGTGGAGCTGATGTAACATCCGCGCTCCCTCCTCTCCTCCTCCAATCACAGACTGTCCTGTATTCTATCAATGACGGTAGGTGACGATAAATCAGGACAATGATGTCATATATCAATTTACAAATATAAAAATAAAAACTTTCGGTGTGCTCTGATTGGAGGAATGATTTGGTGACTTTACCTTCTTCACATAGACGTAGAGAGCCGCCTCCGGAGACAGAGAGCCGTCCTCCAGCTCCTTAGTCATCTCCACCAACGTCAGATCCAGAACCCTCTGGTGGTCCAGGTCCGGGTTCTGCAGAAGACATTATATTACTTCTCACTTCCCCATTCATAGGACCTGGGGGGGAGGGGGGGCAGATTCTGGTCCACAACTACACGAGGAACCAGCTACAAGTCTGCCAATCACTGGAGTCTAAAGATGACGGTCCGAGGTCTGGAGAGCATGCCGGCCAGCACATGGCATAGACACGTCCTTCACCTGGATCTGCTGACCTTCATATTGAAAGAATGATTTGAGAATATAATACCGGTCCTCTTTAGAAATATATGTTAAAAGTCAAAAAAGTCTGAAAATGAGTATTCAGTAGATTCAGTGACGGACCGCCTGGTACCCCGACTGGGTACCTCCGCCAAAGAGCCTCTCCTGCCCGCCAAACCCCGCTCTCAGCCAGCAGATTGGCAGTACCCCCCCCAATCACGAGGCAAAACTCATGTGGAAGGTTCAACATAGAAAGAGCAACAACTTTATTAAACAAAGGACATTCACTCTAGAGACACTGGGAGGTAGGGTTGCCACCTGTACAGGATTCACCCGAACAGTTCGGGTTTTGAATGCTGTGTTCGGGTTTCATGTCAGCAGAAACCCGGACACAAGATGTCAGGCAGACGGGGCAATGAAAATTAAGATAGGGGCTACTAGCCCTCCACTGAAAATAGTCTCACCTGTGATATTTACATATGTAAAAGCCGCAACTCATTCTTCCAAGAAAATGTCCGTGTGTCGCTAGAGGGTTCGGGTTTTGATGAAAGAAAAAGTGGCAACCCTACTGGGAGGGCTACAACCCCTCCCCTCCCTTCCCCCTCATGACAAACACAGATAACAGGGAATCAGACATTCACATACACAGTCACAGTACAATAGGGTGAGCCTCAGATAACAGGTGAGGGGGGGGGG